TTATTTATTTATTTATTCTTATTTATTTATTTATTTATTTATTTATTTATTTATTTATTTAAACTGATTAGCTGCCCAACTCCGCTGGACTCTGGGCAGCAGTTCTGCCTTTTAATGGAGGGTGTGTGTGTGTATGTGTTTGTTGTGGGGGGGGGAGGTCACTGGTTGGCTGGATCCCAAGGACAGAAATTCAGTTCCCAAAGTTTGATTTCAGTCTATTTCCTGCTTTCAGCTGCCCAAATGGCTTGCAGGGAACAGGAGGCCCATCATCCACAGCCAAGAAGCAGCTCTCCATCCTAACCAAGTTGAAGCAAGAGCAGGTGATGTATCCAGGGAGGGGGTTGGAGGAGGAAGGTGAGGCTGGAGGGTTTGTTAGCCCTTCGAGGTAGTCCAGACAAGAAGCACAACCAGGAGTCCTAACTCTATCTTTATTGTAAGGTTACGTTAACAGAATCTTGCAAGACTGAAAGTATTTGAAAGTATTTGAAAATACTGCACGCTTCTCCATTATCAGTGAAGAGACTCACGTCTTACTTGATCATAGGAAGACTAACCTATTAGAAATAAAATCAGAAAGTTTTGTCCTGTTGTACACAGGGGTCTATTAGTTCTAAATGGGAAGTAGTACAGTTGCTGAAATTCTTGAAACTCTTTCTGTTTCCAGTTTCATATCAATAAATCTTGTTAAAGAGAACTCCGTGAAATTTGTGCTGAGAAAGACATTTTAGGCAGCTACCAAGGGCCTGAACTGCTGGCTTTCATCTAGCCAAGCCCTTTCCAACTTGATGCCCTCAGGATACGTTGGACTATAACTCCCATCATGCTCCTGTCAGTATGACTTATGCTGGCAGGAGAGAATGGGATTTGTAGTCAAACCCTTCCAAAAGCATGACATTCAGGAAGGCTGCATTTGACCTGGATGAGTGTACAACTCCAATTTCAGGATAGGAGCAGGAGAGAAGAATGAACATCTGGACTTTTCAATTGAATACCAAGGAATCTAATCTGGTTTCCCAATTTGGCAGGAAGAGATGGCCTCATTGTCTCTGTTCTCATGCTCCTTTGTAGGCAGAAATCAAGCATCTGCAGAACATCGGCCGGGCTGCCCATCAGGAACGCAAACTCCTCCTCCAACAGCAAAAGGACCTCTTAGAGGTTCAGAAGACAACCACACAGCTCTGGCTACAGCTGGCTGGGAAGCTGCCCCACCAGGTTTGTGATGTCCCTGCAAAAGGAGCTGTTGTCGCTGTCCTCTCCAGCTTCCAAATTATGAGAAGGACCCTGAGATAGGAGCTCCAGACCATTTGGGACATGAGACAGAGGGGGCTATCAAGCAGTGCAAGCTATTTGTGGGTTTTTAATTGCTTCCAATATCAACCCACAATAACTCTTCCATAATTAACACCAGAGCTTTAATTTGGTCTGGAATTTGTAGCCTGGGATCCCTGTTCCTTGTAGATAAGTCCCTCTTGTCCAAGTTCCTTCCATTAAAGAATCAACAATGTCTGTAGCATGTTGGAGCAGGGCCTTTGTGGTGATAACTCCAAGGTGAGAGATTGAACATTGATCCTGTATCTCACCTTTACCTTCTGGAAAGTAATGCAAAGGTTACCTTTTATTTGCAAAGGTTCTAATTAAAATTGGGGTACGCAGGGCCTTTTAAAATTCTCCTGCAGCTTTCTAAGCAAAGAAGGTGAGTGGATGATTTCTCCAAAGTTTTTCAAAGGAGAAATTCTCTGTTTTGCAAAGACAGGACTATCTCTTAGCAGTGATGAGAGTATCATGGCTGGGGGAAAATAAACTGGATGGAGTTCCCTCCTGGTAAGATTTAAGATGGAGAAGCTAAAGATTGCTTGGGTCCCTTGTCACAAACGGCTGCATTTGCACACGTAAAGCTTGGTTAGTTTTATCTTTGGCAAATTCTTTGTGCAAATGTAGCTCTTGGCTAGTTTAGGAGTCAATGAATTGCACAAATCCACAAAATGGGTTGCTGTAATTCAATAACCCCATTAAACAGTAAGAGCAGAAGAAGATTCTCTTCTGCTTCGAAAGAATTCCCCGAGCCAGATTTGTTTCCATCCAAAAAATGCAAACGGCTAGGAAAAACGGCCCCAGCCCATTTTATTTTCCATCATTCCGACAACGATGGTTTTCATTCCATCTCCCGGAATTCACAAAACGTAAAGGAAGTTGAGATCGCCCTAAAGAAGGCTAGGCGGATTTCTCTTTTCTTTGCCAGGTTGCTGGGAATCCCAACCCTCAAGGAGCTGCAATGCTTGAGAAAGGAAAGGTGGAAACATCTTTCGAACCCGGTCCTCTTATTGCAACCCATCCAGGGGGATTTGAAGGCAGAAGCCGCCATGCTGTGGACAAGAAGTGAGGATTCTATCCTTCATTTCATAAAGTTTAATTAATCACGAAATGGTCCTCCATTTTTAGAACAGATGGGGGGTGCAACTGACAAGTTTAAGAAAAAAACATCCCTGTGTTCTTCTTGTCTTTTCTTCCTCTTCCTCTCTTCAGCTTTGTATAGTGGGGGGCATTCAGAGGTGGGGGGCAAGGGCTGCAGAGGAGCGAATGTCTAGCAGTGAATTGTGAATTATTGAATGTCACTGGAATTCCCCATCTTTGCCCAGCAGAGTTCAGAAATGCGGGTCTGAATCCCGGCAGAAGGTTACGGTTTTGCAGAGAAAAGATTCGGCATAGCAGAAGAGATAGTTGGGGTTTAGGGGAGGTTTGTGTATAACCCCCATGCCCAATCCATAACCATACCTGATTTCCAAGGAAACAGGTTCTGAAGAAACCCCTTGGACTTCCAGCGTTTTAGAAGAAATGGTGTGCATGACTCAGAATGGCAACAGTTCAGAAGAAGTGGTGTGCGTGACTCCGAATCTGTGTGAATGGGTTGGAGGGAGACCTTGGGGTTGGGTCCAGTGCAGCCTCCAGCCTGGTGTGTAGACCATCTCTGACAGATGGAAATCCAGTCTCCCTCTAAACCAGTGTTTCTCAACCTTGGCAACTTTAAGAGGAGTGGAGTTCAACTCCCAGAATTCCCCAGCCAGCATGCTGGC